CCTAACAATGGAATAAATCACAGAATGGTTTGGGTTGGAAGGACCTTGAACCTCATCTCATCCCACCCCCTGCCATGGGCAGGGTCATCTTCCACTAGCCCAGGTTGCTCCAAGTCCTGTTCAACCTGGCCTTGAATATTTCCCAGGGATGGAGCAGCCACAGCTTCTCTGGGCAACCTGTGCCAGTGTCTCAGCACCCTCACAGGGAAGAATTTCTTCCCCATATCCCATCTAACCCTGGACTCTGTCAGTTTAAAGCCATTCCCCCTTGTCCTGTCACTACATGCTATGCAAAAAGGTCCCTCTCCACAGCCACATCTGACTTCAGGGTTATTTGTTCTGTCCCTTCATGACCCTGTGGAGCTTCCCAAAAACACAGCACACACTGTGTCTGTTTTCAGAGCTGAGTGACACAAGACCTGACAGAAAATCCTGTTTTACCTCTTATGCAGGAAAATGACACGATGAAAACAGGGCAATTCTGATGCCATCCAGCAGTGGACACTTCCAAGTACCCCCCCCCCCCAGTGCCAACACCCACAACACACACCTACATGTGTGTACATACGTGTGAGCACGTGCCTGTGTGAGTGTGCCTATGTGAGTCAGACAGAGCAGCTCTGCTTCCTGCAGTGGGGTTTATAAATATTCATCAGTGGACATCTCTACATCCACGCCCACCCCAAAAGCAAGACTTTCTGTTTAAAAGCACTACTTACATCAATATGTGAATATTGCTGCTCCTCAGGGATAACTTAAAATGAGTCTGGAGCATTAGCACTACGTTAGTTAGACCCTCCCTGCTGTCGAAACTGTTCATTTCATACAACCACCCAACGCTGGTGGAAACAGGCACAGTACCCTGCCAAAGCAAACCCAACAAACCCCTTAGGAGCACAGATCCCTGGAGAACACATACCTGTAATTGTGGAACCAGTTGATCACCGTGCTGGTTTTCAAGTTGAGCTGCGTAGCGAGTTCCTCAATGGTTTTTGGTGATGGGTATGGCTTTTGCTGGTAGGCTCGTTTCAGAGCTTCTTTCTCCTCTGGTGCCAGCACCACCCTGGGTTTCTTCAGCTGATGCTGGGGCTGTGGGCTGGCTCCCTGGCTGTAGTCGATTCCAGCTGATGAGGACTCACAGGACTGACTGTCGCTGACAGAGCTGTGTCGCCGTTTCATGTAGGCTGCAAGGGAAGCGCATTGGATCAGCCCCGGCTGAATACAAATGCAAAATCAATGAATGCAACAGGCTGTGGGATAAACACACAGGTTGTAGATGCATGGAAGGGCTATTCGGGGGGAAGAGAAAGGATGGGGCATCATCAGAGATCAGAGGAAAGCAAATGTGTGGAGGATGCAAGAGGCAGAAAGAGAAGAAAAGGGGATAAATCAACTGGAAACCTGCCAGAGTTTGCTGCTCTTTCACCGAACGTGGGACACGAATAAACAGGGCTCAGTTCACAGGATTCATTTCAAATACACTCAAGAGCAGTGAACTCGCACTGGATTAGGACAGTCGCACTTTATTTTGACTGAAAGGGGTTTGGTTGTTCAAACACTTCAGGTGCACACGAAGGTGTCTCTAACATTAAGGTCTCTGATGGAAAAATATGACTCGAGCAGCTGCAGCTTTTCCCCCGTGTGCCCAACACACGGTGGCGCCCAGAGCCTGGAGATGCAGCCAGGGGCTCATCAGGCCTTTGCTGCCTTCCCCTACAGCTCTGTGCTGCAGCCCTGACAGTTATGAAAGAAAACCAGCCCCCAGCACCCTCCTCCCCAGCACAGAGCTCCTGCCCAAAGACATGCACTTTGGAGAAAGCACTGATGGAGCTCCCAGGCAGGAGCCTGTGATCCTGTGATCCTACCACTGACCTTCCTCCCCAACAGAGGGTGAATTATCCTGGCAAATTCCACGAGGAAAGAGTCCCAGCAAACGCTGTCACTGACTTGATTGATTTACAGCGAGCACAGAGAGGTGGGATTTACTGCACCTGGCAGTATCATGCACAAGCATTGCTAATGAGGGGGCTGAAAACGGCAAATATAGATGAATCTTGTCAATAAAATATTTAATGGCTTGTTAAAGACCGTCTAGATATTTAAGGGTTTAGGTATTCAAGAGCTGCAATTTGATAACCTTGGCCATTAAGTTCCAGATTACACCAGCCTGACATCAATCTAGCAGGCACTAAATCTCCAACAGTCAGGAGCTCTGGTCGGAGCAGGGACCAATGTCACACTGGTCAGCAACCAAATTCTTCAAAAAAAGCAATTTCTCTCTCCCTGCAGCTCTGCCTTCAGGCTGAGGGTGCACAAAGAATAAAAATTCAATGCCATCAAATGAAGTGCAGTGCTCAAAGCTCTGCTCACACCAGCTCTCTCCAGGCCTGGCCGGGTTTGCTGGCTCCGGTGGCTTCCAGCATCCTGTGCTCTACACGGTGGCACCTCCAGTGGGACCTTCACTGAAGTGAATTCTGCACACACTCTGTAACCTTTGAGGGTATCTGCATGGCCTGCATTTTGTTTTTCCTGAATATGACAGATTACCTGTGGATTGCCTACTGTGTAAGATCACTGATATGGAACAGAACGTGAGATGCTCGCGATCCATCACTCTGACGTGATACAGTCCTGCACTCGTGTGAAATAACCATAAAACTCAAAGTGGGTTGTTTTTTATTTTAAATAAATTTCCTTAAAATCCCACCTATTTAAGTTGTGCCAATCAGATGCAGAACTGCAAGGATCCTGCACCATTTCAAGGTGACCCACTCACCTTATTTTACAGCCTTCAAGGAACTCTTAGAACTTTCAACCATAGAATTAATCATTCCAGGAGGATAATCTCACATTTCTAGAAGGTTTTTAATCTCAAGATTCCTTCCTAGGTGTTATTTCCAACTTGAACTGACATGCAAACTGCAGACAAGGCTCCCTTGTCTCCTAGGGTAGCAAAACCAAGAGGCTGGAGGACAGGATCCATCACCTCAGCCATGGGCAAGGGCTTCAAGGAGGCCATGAGACAAAACCAGAGTTGGCATGGAAGATGTAAAAGGTGCTCAGACTATCTCTACCTGGAGTTTCTGGAATTTGGCCAGGTGACTGAGTGAGCATGAGACACCCATGGATCAGGATGCTCTGAATCTCTGCTTTCTCTGCTCTCCAAAGGATGGGATTTCTGGCAGGGCAGAGTTCCCACCCTTAAACAGCTTAAGGACAGCCTGGAGCTGAGAGAGCTTGGGAATAATGCCATGGCTACCTCTGTCCTGTAAGCTCACACTGGGGTCACAAAAGGTGCACTGGCTGACCTGGGTTGCTCTCATGTGAATGGAACAAATTACATAAATGCACATATTTTATTAACATAAAAATAAAGAGGAGGATATCCCAACTGTTCTGGCAGAAACAATTGTTTTCTGGAGGAAAATCTATTATCAGAACCAATTTCCACTGGGCCAAAGGCAGAACTAGCACCCAAGCTTCAGGCCTTAATGCTGCTCTCTGGAAACTTAGATGACATTTCTAAAAGCTTTTCCATTTTAATTTTTATTTTAAACATATGTGCTGTGTGTAGACAACATAAGGAGATCATTCAGCACATTTGCAGTGACAGCAAGGCTCAAACTGGAATCCAAGTTGCAAACACACTTTATTTTTGGAGAAGTTTGATTTTGGTCTGTGACCAGTCTCCACTTCTCAGGAGACATATGAAGAAAAAGAAACCCAGATGTAATTTGGGCAAAGGTCTGGATCTGGGGCTGAGACAAGGATGTCAAGGACAGCTCCATGCCCTGAGTTATGCCTTTTTTTTCCCCCCAGCATCCCTGTGTCCCTCTGAGAAGACTCCCCAGCACGTGCCCAGCTAGAGATGCAGCACACACCATGGCAGAGCTGGCAGCTGCTCACTGAGGCAAAACAGAGCCCCTTTTAATACAATCTTTATCTTGTGTGGCATTGAACAAGATTAGTAAAAAGTGAAATAATGGGGAAATAAAGGGAATTAAATTTTCTCCTGACAGCAGACTTCAGGGCAGTTCTGTGAGGAGTGTGATGCTGCCAGCAGCACACACCCTGTGAGGTTAGGAGCCAGGAATGAACTCTTCCAAGGCAGGAAAGGTGTGTAGAGTGTCTCAGCCTTGTGAGCATGAACCCTTGACTTCCTCCAAAGTGGTTGGTTAATATACATTGCAAATTTTTAGAACCTCTTAAAATGGACATTTATAGCACAAACTGGCAGAACAGGAAAAAAAAAAAGGATATATGCAGCTCACCTTTATCATAATTATTAATTTACTCCCTTAATAAAATGTGGCAGAGAAATAATTGATAATAATGTTTCACTGGAAGCAGATCCAGCTGCATTGTTCTTTAACTGACATTAGCTGAAGGGAAAGGTACATTCTTAATGTGGCTCCAGAGCAATTTCAAAGGTTAAATCACACGATCCTTACCTGCCTGAAAGGATTTTGCAGAAAATACAGGGCTGAATTCACTTTGGACTGCTCTGCAGTGAGGACAGCACTTGCACAGCTCAGGAGCTCAGTGCAGAGTCTCAATGATTTATGGCCTTATCTCTATTCAGGTGCCATCTACAGAGCATATGTATCACTCACTGGTTGATAAGAACCCAGTTTAGAAAATAGTTTTGAAAGGATATTGTCAGTACTACTTTTAAATTATTTTTATTTTATTTTCTTGCATTATGGGCAAGATTCTCTTTGAGGCTATAAAAATCCAGCTGCTTGACAATTTTATTTCTGCCATGTTTCTAACACAGCCAAACCCTCATCGTTTCCCCTCTGGTTTACAGTTGTAAGTGGGAAACCCAAGTGGATTTTACTCCCCGTGGAAGATCACACACAATGTGTGAGAAGATACTGCACTGCATTATATTATACTGGTTACTGTGACAAGGATTTGAATCTCTTCTTAAAAGCCTGCAAGACTGTCATTTTCCCAGAAGCTCCCTCACTGCAATTTTAAATATAATCACCAAGTTCTTGATCAAATGTGTAAATGCTTTCAGAACATCAGTCAACAGCAGCGTTCAGTGTACACGATTAATGATGTCTGTGCTAATATCATTAAGGGATAGCTCGAGAGATGTATATATCATTAATTAGTTAACTGCTGATAATGGCAGCCTACGAGTCTCTCTTGGAAAATCACAGGAATGTAGGAAAAACAGAGCTCTGAATAACCACGGGTTTTGAGTAATGAATTTAAAAGAGAGTAGGAAAAATCTGAAGGATCTACTCCCTACTGATACCCAGAAACAACTCAGATCTCTCACAGGTCCAGCCTCATGACCATGATGTTTATGCAAGCACAGCCCAACGCAATCACCTTCCCTCCTCCATATAAAGGCTGCAAATATAATTATTCTCAAACACCCTTTTATAAAGGCTGCATTTTCTTTCCTCCTAGAGACCATCAGTGCAGGACTGGCAAGAAGCTCTCTCAGGAATCAATGCACAGTTCTTCCAGCCCAACATCTGTGACCAGCTGCAGCACTATTAACTAATAACCCCCAGCCAGCTCCCAAACTCAAATTTCTCATTTGGTAAGGCAAGTTATCAGCAATACACCAGGGCCACAGTAATTAATCTATAGGAAAATATAGCAATGATTTCCCAGCAGCTGACGAATATTCAGGGTTTGGGATTGTTTTTTTTTTTTTGGCTTGGCTTTCGTATTTGTTTATTTTGAGACGGATCTGCTTGAGCTCCCATCAAATAAAGCTCTAAGAAAGCTGCCACGAAGTCCTTTTGCATAACCTTCATCCTACTGGATCAATGCTGCCTCGATACTATTTATGGAGAGTTATAAAAGACAGGCTCATCTCTGGAAGGAGGGAAAACATGAGTCAGCACTCTGCTGCTCCCAGTTACCTTTTTTCTCCATTCGTTTCATATCCATCAGCTTCTCCACGTTGTTGGGATCGTTGAGCCACAGCTGCATGCGGACAAAGGGTTCCCGTCCCTTCAGACTCAGCTTGTGCCAGGGCTTGGGACGAGCCAGAAGGTCTGAGACAGAGCCTTGTGTTAGCCCTAGGATTGTCTCCCCGAACAAACGCTGACCTAATACGAAATTGAAAATCGCATCAATTCATTCGGCCAAGAGACTCACTGAAAAGAACACGTCTACGAGGTCACTCGTCACTTATTCTGACTTCAGAATTGCTTCCAAACCCAAAAGAAACATTTGCTCTGCCCCCCACTAAAAGGGTTCAATATTGAGCTTTTAGGTTACTCCTTAGGATCTGCCTGTGACAAAGGGGGAGTTGAATATGTTTGGGGCTTTACAGTGAGACAGTGTGCAAAAAATAAACTGAAGGAGATGAAAAATGAACTGAACTTCTAGCTAAGCAGGCAACTAGTGAGAACAGTGAGGCTACTCAGCTCTGATGCAGGAGGGCAGTGCCACAGTGTCATTCCAACAGGGCAATCCAAACATTTCCAGCAATCAATGAACCAAGACCAGTGTGACCCCTTCAGCAATGGTCATATAGGTGTCCCCATAGCATCCCTTCCTGCCTCATGTAAGGATTTTCTGTGCTGTACTATCTGTGCCTCACCAACTATAGATAACCACAATTTACAACAGAACAGCTTTTTTTACAGCCTCCACAGTACTTTTAGTTAGGAATACTTAATTTTAGTTCTCTCTCAAAGTGCTATTGTCTAGCAGGGTAAAATCTGAAAATGCTTTTTTAATGTACAGTGTTTGTATGTGCATTGGGGACACTGATTCACGTGGCTAAGATCTCACTTATCAAGGACTGGGGAAAATGCCTGTGCAGCTCAAACCCAACCACACTGCTGGTTTTCTAAACCCCTTCCCTTCAGTGTTCTTCCTCAGCTGAACTGCCTTGATCCCAACAGCTTCTGTTACAAGAGAGAGCCTGGAGACATCTGAGTCATCAACGGGGATTTAAGATAGAAGTGCTGCTATCATGGAATTTCAAGGTAACCCAAAGATTTTTCCATAACCCCCATGTCTGGGCCTCAGGGTCTTGTGTCTGATCTGTAGCTTTTGAATTCCCTCACTAACACACCACAGAGTGCTTTTTCTTCACTTCCCAGCACTGCTAGCAGCCTCAGCCACTGGCAACCAACAGATCCCTAAGGGACAAGACAAAGGAGTGGGAGCTTATGATCCTACAGTTCTGCACAACATGCTCACACTTGTACAAGCACCACCAGCTCCTGCCTTCACAGCCTCACCTGATCCTGGCACAAACAGCTGGTGGAAAATATCTGCTCTACAGACCCACCCCATGTGCCTAACTCCACGAATCTCCTCTTTAAAAACATCCCAAGACTTTTGCCCTGGTGATTTCTTTTGCCTGTATGGGGAAAGGAGGGAAAGTGGGGCCAGTTAGAAGCTGCAGAACATCCCACTCAGATGTGTGGGGCAGGTGGGTCTGCAAAGCTTTTGGAGGAAGCAGCTGAGATAATGAGAGCAGAAAGGGGAAAGGAGGACAGGGCTAACATGACACACTGCTAATGAGCTCTAAAACTAAGCCTGAAAATGGTTCTTAGAGACTGAACAGAAACCGACATTCAGAATTCACTTATGTTCCTAATAAGTGATTTTCCACTATGCTCAGTATCAGGAAAATCAGACAAAAGAGGTAATTCTGGGCCAATTTTAGCTCATGCCTATTGCTGGGGTAACCTGCTCCCTGCTTGTATTTAAAAACATCAGTAAGGCCTCAACCATGTCTCTGTAAACCTGCCAAGGTAACACAGCTCCTTTTAAAAACCTGTTCTTGTGTGGCCACACATACAGGAATATGAGCACAAATCTGCAAAAGGGTTGGGAATGCTGCTGAAGGAAATGAACCTCAAACTACTGCCTGAAAATTAAAAATGCACATGTGGAAGGAGCTAACATCACGTTCTCTACGTGTTAAGAACAAAGCTAAAGAAGTTTGTGACACTTATTTTATTCCAGGCTATGGCAGGACTGGATAAAACACCTCAAAGACTCCCAAGCTAATGGACAAAGTGTAGAAATCATCCTCAGGAGGTAACACCTCAAAGACTCCCAAGCTAATGGGGAAGGTGTAGAAATCATCCTCAGTAGGCAGCAGGTTCATCATGCTCCAACTTCATCAAAGCACTATTAATAATGGCCATATTTTTAAGCACAAGTTTCCTAAAACAACTCCCCACCATTCATGTCTGTTCCCACTGATGTAGCTCCTCATGGACAAAACTTTGGGTGTTGGATAGTCCTGACCCTTCCTAATAAATCTCCAACACTACAGTCCTACAACAGCTCAGTGCACCTGCTTCCCTCTCTAAGGTACATGTTGCCCAACAGGGAAACACTGATGATACTATTTGGGGCTAGAAACACCAGCAACACCTCAGTGTTAACGATGCTGGCATTGTTTGCTGAAATCACAGAACCAGAGTGGAGCAGCCACAGCTTCTTCAGGCAATCTCTGCCAGTGCCTCAGCACCCTCACAGGGAGGAATTTTTTCCTATTATCCAATCTAATCCTACACCATTTCACTTTGAAGCCTGAAGTGATGACTGCTGAACAAACAGGCATGGGAGGAGAGATCCTCCCAACACACCCTGCGTGGTTTTGCACAACTGTGGTCTTTACTGTGGAGCAGCCACAGCTTCTTCAGGCAATCTCTGCCAGTGCCTCAGCACCCTCACAGGGAGGAATTTTTTCCTATTATCCAATCTAATCCTACACCATTTCACTTTGAAGCCTGAAGTGATGACTGCTGAACAAACAGGCATGGGAGGAGAGATCCTCCCAACACACCCTGCGTGGTTTTGCACAACTGTGGTCTTTACTGGCTGATGGAACTGGAACACCTGAGCCACCAGCAGTTGCCTATGACAGGTTCACAAGGCCTCGAGGTCTGAGACAGAGAAACCTGTGCACCAGACAGTCTGGTGCACCAGCACACTGAGGGCACAAAAGGAGACATTGAAACTGGTTCCACACCTAATGCAGAGTTTGGGGCACATTTCCTGGCTCTTCTGCTGCTTTTTAGGCTTGTCAGCCACACTGTAGGAAAACAAAAATCATGGGAAATAAAAAAGACTAAGTAAAAATGGCATCAAAGCAAATGTACACAAAAATAATTTTTCAAACCTCTCTGGAACACCAGAGCAGGTACAGCACTCAACAGCATTTTGCCAAAGACTAGGGGCTTGGACCTGCAAAACCTTACCATGATTTGGGGCCTTATCTCTATGTTATCTCCACCGAACGAGCAACCACCATCTGCCCATGCCAATGTGCACAGGCAAGAAATTCTGCTGGGCTCAGTGGAATGCAGTTTCATGCAGGACATCTCCATGATCTGGGACATTTACCTTTTTTTCCCCAAATTATGTTACATGAGAACTTGCAACCTCCCCCATCCCAGTATTTTTCCCCTTAAAAACTAATCTGAGATAATAACATGTTATTCTGTGTCTAGATGAAAAAAGTCTTCCTTACATACTAAAATAGGGGAGTTTTTACTTTTACAGTCATAATGTTCAGATGATATGGATAAAATTCTTCTCACATAAGTACCAACATCAGTCTAAATCTAAACTTATCTTTTTGGTCTCATTTGTAGGGAATGAAGAGAAACTGGTACTTCTGGAGAGAACCAGAGATGTTTTGAACACCTAACTGCAGGTGAGATGAGTCCCTTGCTAAGCCCCAGAAGCAGGAGCAGGTAACACTGGGGCAGCTTTTCTGCCCTTCTGCTAGAGACATCAAAGGAGCCCTAAAGGTTTCCTAATGCCTTGTGAGGGAAGCAAGGGTTAAAGACATAAGAAGAACCAGTGATTGAGAGGCATAGTGGCAGCATTAGTGTGGATTTCCCATACCCAGATCAGGTTATTCCCTTTGACTATTACACATGTCAACATGACACTTAATTCAACACCCAAAAAAGCAAAAGCAGCCTTAGCTTTGTAGAACCCTAAGCAAAATAACTGAATGGACCCATATACTCATCTACAGGTTCACCTAAACCTCAGCAGAGTCTGGATTTACCCTCCCACAGGTACCCTGTGCTTTTGCTTGTGATGCATCTCCCTCTCCAACCATGCTGGGCTCCTCTACTTCACTGTGCCCTGAATGCTGGGGCCTTGAATCTGTTAGCATGGGGGAAACAGCCTTTCTCAGGGGGAGATCTCACTGGCTCTGGGGTTCTGGTCTCCTTCACAGCCTGCAAGACTGTATTTCTGGAGGTGGGAGCCAGGAGCAGAGCTCAGGCAGAGCATGTGATGATACTTTAAGTAGAGTGTAACAATCTGAAAGGATTTTCCTACCAGTTTAGAAACATTACATATTGTTTTAACAGATGTTAAACTCAGGCCAGAGTCAAACCCAAGTATTCACCTACTGCACTACAGCTTAAAAATAAAAGCATGAACATTTATTTCAGTCGAAAAAATGAAAGTGATTTACCAAGATTGTTGTCCGTTAGCACTTCTTTGACCCTCTTTGTAATGCCATACGTGTCCAGCTCAGGGGACATGGCAACCAGTTCCTGGATGCTGAGTGCTGAGTGGCCTGACAGTGGCAAAGGGGTCGTGGATTGGGATTCAGAAGCAGGAGGCTCGTTGGATTCCTGGGATTTGCCATCCTTACTGGTCTCTATAGCGGGACAGGGCTGCTGGACCAACTCCGTCAGGCTTTTCACGGATTCACTGGAACTCATGGGAGATTCAGGTGCAGGACTGCAACTGGCAGAAGTCTTTGGAGTGCTTTCTGGAAGTGAAAAAGAGACAAAGTCCTCACTTTAGCATAACTGTAATGTTTTGACTGCAGGATCTTTAACTTTCCTTCTCATTTATATTCTACCTACCCCAAAAACTGCCTAAGTATGCAAAATGCAACTTGCTATGACTTGGGTACTAAAAAAGCCTCTTTTGAAAACCAGAACTATTTTCTAAGTTTATCTTGAGTTATCTCTGATTTCTTACAAAGACAAGATGTACAAATCTAAATAAAATCCAGGAAAAAGTGACGTGCAATAGTCTGTAAGTTCGCAAGCAATTTCCTTGGTCAGGAAATCTCATAGTTTTGCTTTCCACAACATTTTTGTCTAAGGATGCTTTTAAATCTACCACTCTGGACTGGTTTAAGCTCCTCCTGTGACTTGTAAGAAACTCACTCAGCCACTATTTTCTACTGTCAGGGAGGGATTTTTTAGAACTGATACAACTCTGTATCTTGAGTGTTATTGATTTCACTTTGTTTCTTATCACACACATCACATTTTTGCAATTCTCTTTGTCCAGAAGTAACGAGATTAAAACACAGTTTGTAATTATGTTGTATTAATTAACGTGTTTCAGACTCCAACATGAAGATAGCGAGTGGATCAGGAGACACCCAAATCTGTTATTGTGACACTTGGTTTAAAAGAAAGCTTTCCCAATCTGTTAGTTTGCCAACAACAATAGGTTCAGTACATAATGTTGTTTTCCCCTAATAAATTTATCTCTAACAGAATGTACTGAGCTTATTCAGAGACTCCAGACATCTAAGGGTACAGTCTGAACGTTTTTTAAAGCAACAACACGTAGACAACGTGGTTTACAGGAACAATTCCCTCCAAAAGATAAACAGCACATGCAATTTCTCCAGCCACAGTTCTTTCCTCCTCCTTGCTGTCTCCCATCTCATTACTTGACACGGTTAATCGCTTGTATCTCAGCCTCATACATCAGTGGTTTGTCTCCAGCTCTCTGGAGGAAGCTTACAATGCTCTCAGTTGTACAAGGATGAGGCCAAGCTCCATCCAGAACTCAGTCCCTCAACCAGAGCTGTGTTTTCCTGAGCCCTGCAGCATCATGTCCCATCAGGGCCATGGCAATGGCTGAGAGCAAATTGCACTATTTTTTTGAGTTTCTTCATTTGTTATCCAGAATATTGTCAAATCATTACAGGACACACAGCCTGTGTAGCCTGGAAACACATCCCCAAATGCTAAAGGAAAATACTACAGAAGTGAAAGTCAGGTTTGAATGAAACAGGTGCACAGGGTAACTGTGCTGTACAAGGTTTCACGTGCTGCAAGAGGTTCCCTGACACACTCACATCAAGTTGCTCTCACCAACAAAAAAAAAAAATCTGACTTTTTCCTTAGTGCTTTATGAGAGATGCAAAAGAGGCAGACATCCAGCAAAGTGAGGTGCATATAAATCTTTCAGGTAATCAGGATCCTACAAATCCTATTTCTTTTCTCTGCCTACCCTGGGTCATCATACAACTGAATATAAACCCCAGCAAATGTTATTTTTGTATCAGGAGCAGCAAAGGAATTGTACTGTAAATTTGCCCTGATTCACCCATGCGAGGGACCAATTTGGCAGATCATCCATCTTGTTCACTGTACACTGTCAGGGATGGCATGAATTCCCTACATGATAAACAGATTTCTTCTCAGGTCTGTGTCCTTTAACCCACAGCAAGGTCAAAATTATGGCTGCCTAGCTAATAAACCGCACGGCACTCGTTCAACTTCCCTCTAATTTTGTCCCTTGTGCCAGCTTATACAAATCTTACTGAATAACTAGAGCAGCTGCAAATTTCCTATACAATTCCTCATCCGTGCACTGGAACCACATGCACACACGGAATGCAGGAAAAAAATAAAAAAAAACCCCAAATCAAAAACAACCAACTCCAACCACACAGGACTAAACAAAAGCATCTCCTAACGCTTCCTTCTCCCTCTCCCTTCCCTGCCCAGCCTAATTACCAGCACAACAAAGGTAATCTGTGTGATCATCTATCACTGAGATGCTCTCTGTTGCTCACACATTAGCTTATTTATTTTTTATATCACATATCAGGAGCTTACTTGAATTTCATTTTTAAGACCAATCTGCTCCTTATTTACCCCAAAAGGTGGGATTATCTGAGCCTTATTTTGGAAGGCAGTACAGCTGACAAACTGCTTTTTTTTCCCCCCACCAAAAGGCAAGTGTACAGTGATTTCAGATGAGGCATTATGCACACATACTACAAATAACTCAAAATATGTTCCCCCTTCATTTTTAGCATTGCTCCCTTCTGGAGAAACATTTTTCGAGATTGCATAAATATTTGAGGAAAAGATCCATTATTTGGGAAAGTAAATTCAATAATCAAATAATGCAAACATTTCCTGTTAATCTACTTAAAAAATTAAACAGACATTTAGAGTACAAGTGACTGCTGACAGAACAAAGGGGAAAATTGACTGTATTCACTATTCCAGATTTAACTGTCAATCCACAGCCATTTCGCATGTTTTATGAAATAATTTGTCTGTATTCATTTCTCTCAAGTTCCTCACAAGACAAAGACACAAATTCAGGACAGCTAAAAATACATATTAAGATTTCCAAAGTAGCAATTGAACATTTCCAGTGATAATAATACACTGAGAGCTTAGTTCTTTAAAACCTGTCCTGTTTTTTCCATCCCAGACTGCACTGAATAGCACTAACTTAAGAGCAATCCAGTTTCTTACCAGTAAGTGATGTTCACCAAATGTTTTCACGTTTGTTTAGCGGGGAAGAGATCATTTTGTCAATATAAATGTAAAGTGCATTACAGGCTGTACAACCTGCAAACCCCATGGCCACCATTTATTGATGAAATTACCTTAATAAATTCCAGATAAACTTTGCTGTACCAAAGGGATGTTGCAGTTTGCTTTCCAGCAGCCTCTACCCAATTTAAAACCTGAAGCAACAGCCTAAAAGCTTCAAAAATAAGGTGCTGGAAGTGAAGAGCTGAAGAGATCAGAAGCAACACCAGTGAGGTCATTGCAGAACCTGGGAATTATTTAAGCCTCAGGTAGCCAAAGATATCAGTTGTGCCTTGAGCTTTATAAGGACAGGAGAAATAAGGTGTCCCCAAACTACCTTTAGGGGAAGATGGTGACCATTAGACCCTGCATGTGATGAAGACACAGCTTAACATGACAGTTTTAAATGATCTGAAAACCTAAGTAACTTTTGCACAATTACAGGCTGATGTTGCTAAATGCCATCAAAGATGCAAAGACACCATAAATGCATTTAATTCATCCAAGCCTTCTAAGACTACAAGTGTAATTGAGTCATGATAGGGTAAAGCTTCCACCAGGCTCCTTTTACATTTTTAATTCAAAATATAGTCCAGGGTATAGGGAAGTTAGGCACTTCCAAGTGATTTTAAAAAGCACATTCAAATAGGCAGCACAGAAAATAATAATCAAATGCAAATCAAGTAGCAGAAGTGATGTCTGCAGCAATGGGCCAGCAACTGGAAATGTTTGGCAAGTGCAATTGGCCTCCATTCACAGCCAAAACATGAAGACAACCAAACACCAACACTGGTTATTCCACAGCTGAGAAAAACAGCTGAGAGAAAGCTATGCCCACACAGTCAAGGAGAGCTCCCAGTCTTTAAAGGCAAATAACATTTTCATAAAGACCAAAACACTTGATGCAGTTTGCCAATGCCACAAATCTGTACTTGGGAGCACATCACTCCTTCCAGAGCACAAGGGCTATCCTTAAGCAGGAAATTCTTCCCTTTTATTTTGTCCTACCACAGTGCTAGAGAGGGATGCCTATACTAAAATAAAGATGTAAAAATAATGGAAACAAAGTCAGCATTACACAAATGCTTTCTGCTTTCTTTTTAAATACTATTTTCCCAATAAAAAAAATGCTGTTTGAATGACCATCTCACTTCAAAAAAACCCAAACTGTCACCACAGCTTGTCCATTCTCCTCCTCATCCCTTAGTAGCTAACTGTTAAGAAGCTAAACTCACTTTGCAAACAACTTAGCAAATAGGACTAGGGTCTGTCTGAGCATTTTACAAAACTGGTTGAGAACCCTAACAAAGCAACCTTGCCTTGACCATCTGATCACAAAATCTGTTGTGGTCTTGCATTCCTTAGCCCAATGGATGAAGCCAAATGGTAGTTTGGTCCCATCCATCCCCAACAGCTTCCCCACAGCTTCTGTCATGACAGTGTTTTGGAGAATGTGAGGAAGTCTGGAAACAGAGTTTGAGTCTCAGTTCGTTGACTACGGAAGTTTTAGTGAACTTAACATTAGATGTCCTTATTCTTCTCCAACTACAAGGCTTCCCACTCCCATGCTGGGCTCAGGGCCTCAGGACTGGATCCTGGGCCCTCAACTGCTTGAACACAGGCTGCAGAACATTTTGGACTGATTATCCTACTGGTGGCCTGCAAATTGTCTGAAAACACTTTCCTCAACACAGTCTCAGCCTGACCGTTCCCTCTCCAAGGTCTGACCACGTTCTGCCATCGTAATGTGACTAAATCCCTAGTGTGTAAGGAACCATAGGCTGTATGAGGATCCTCTCCTGCAGCATTCCTGACCATCACCTGCTCAGCTGGATCAACTCAGCAGCCAAAGACATGTATTATGTTCTGCAAAACTGCACTGGTCAAGGAGGACCATTTTTGAGATGTACATGAACTCTTCTGACCACAGGAAGGAATCCAACACGCCCCTCCATGTGGAAGCAGCAGCACAGCTCAGATCCACAGCACACTTCAGCTGGAGGCTCCTTCTGAAGCTCAGGATATCTCAGATGCAAAGACTTGCAGGTGATGCCTGCTCCAACCTCCCCAGAAAATCACAGACGTCTACAAGACCTGACACCAGTCCCGGGTGTATCCCCCTCGACAGAGGTATCTGGATGACGGAGCGGTGTTGAGACACGGATACGGTTTCACCAGTCCCAGA